AATTAGGAAACCAAGATGACCTCCCTTGTCCACAAAACTATATATTTTAGGAAAGCTTATTGCATGAATTTTTTTTATGGACACTGTAAATTGAAATATGCACAAAAATGTGATTTTTTGACATAAGTGATTTAAAAAAAATTAGCTTCTAAACCATGCTTCTGTTTCCTGTCAAAATTGGTTTATGGGTACATCTGTTTACTATGAAGAAAGTGCCGTCTTGAAAACTGTCTACCAGTTGTCAATTTTGCAGGGCAGCAGCTCAAATTTCACTTCACTTCACCCAGGCTAGTTGTCTGTACGATTGTTGTAACACTGTTCAACCAAAACCAATGCCCTGACAGCGTTTTGAAGATAAACACATTGTCAACCATTTGTGAAAATTTCAAAACAAAAGGTCAAAGCGTCTAGGAGCTATTTTTTTTTAAAGTGCACGAAAAAGAAGTTGAGATAATTGCTAATTTGCATAACAATTCACTCAGTAAGAAGTTTGCTAATGCTCATAATTAATTAAAATGGCTCTAACAGTTCCAAATTTGAATGTATTATCGTTTTGTTAAAAGTTAAATATAGTTGCATAATATGGAGATCTCGTCATTTTTTTTCACCATGTTTCTTTTTTTATTATTTATGTACAGCCTTGCTAAATCTTGCTAAGATAATGTTTGCACCTGTTATCTATATTTTAAAAATCGTTTTTTGAGTATGTTCCACTATTCACAATTCTACAAAATTTTAACAGTCTATAGCCAAGACTGTTTGGATAATAAAAAGCAAAAAAAAAAAATTTCACTCCCAAGTGCCCACAAACCTGCATCTCTACCTATATATTTTCCTTTCAGAACTTCTAACAGTGCACATATTTTGTACAATTATTGAAATGAACCAATAATAATAATGCACTTCATTGCTGCCAATCACGATCCCTTTTTTTCCTGACAATCAGGCCCTTTGACAGCGGTTGTCATGATTACAAACGCCTGACATATCTCAATAAATGTGCAGTTTTTAGCTATAAGTAGTTAAAGTTATAGTATCTGTTAATCTTATTTGAATTCTTTATAACATATCTAGTAAATTCAGCCATCAACTGAAATAATTAGTTATGGCAAATTATGCAGGTCTCTTTGCAGCTAATTTATTTTTCATCTGGATAACTTGATATCCCATCATGCAATGTGATTTTTGAATACTGACAACATAAAAAATTGTTATATCAATTTCTACATACCAAATTGTCAAGTGTATTGAAAAACAAAAAGTTTAAAATAAATGTGATAAAACAGCAACTAATGGTCTCATGCCACGAATCAACCAATGGCCGCTCAATTTAAATGCCTTGCAAGAACCAATTAAATTTTTTAAACATTTTTTTTCTCAGGTGCTCCCTGTTTGAGGGATGTGATCACCTGGGTCAAAGGTGAGACCAACATGTGGTCTTTTGTTTACTACTTAGCGACTGTGTACCTGTGAGTTTATTCTGTGTGTATTTGGATGTTCTAATCTTGGTGTTTTTCCAGTGATTTCTCTAGGTGCAATCTAAATACAGTAGGTGTGTCTTGTTTACCTGAGATTTGCAAGAGTTTGAGCTGGCCAACATGTTAGTTTTTTTCAAGTGGTTGATTACTGGCATGTTGATTTCCCATTTTTGAGCCATGTTTTCAACTTTGTTCATCATTTTCATATATAGCAATCTCGTCATATGTTAACATTGTCGTCTATGGAGTTTCAATTAGTGGTATGAGCCCTAATAGTACTAAGTATTTTTTAGTTGAGAGAGAGACCATGTCATTCAGAAAATATCGCCCTCTAATGATAAAATGATAATCCTTGTCAGCCGATAGAGGGCACAAGCACGACATCCCTAATTACCTGAACTTGACTTTATCAGCATCAAATAAATCGTTTCCTTGATGTGAACAATATTGGTCTTCAGTGATGACATTGACAGTCATATACAGATGTGCTTCACTTCTCTCTTTCCGCCTCTGGGCCTCTTGCCTCCTAATGAAAGAATAAAACACGTTAGTATGATATGATAATCATTTGTTTTTGAATCACAAATTAATTTAAAAACGAGATAAATAGCGAGTTGTGCTAAGGTGAGCCCATGGGCGCACCAAACAATTTCCACCGGTCACAAAATCAACCATAATTTTGTTGTTGTTCTTGTCAACAGTTAATCAGTGACATGGATAAAAATTACAACCAATCTTTCACCTGCAGAAAGGCAGGCTGGAGCTAATATATGGGATACATACACCAAAATAAGAGTTAAAGCAATTCAAGTGTGCTTGTCCACAGTATTAATTAACACAGCTGAGGCGCGGAGAAAAACAATTACCGTATTACACGCGCCCCTCCCTGGGCAAGCGCCCACCCCGCTGTTTTCACAAAAGTTACATGTTGGGGACATCCTTGATTAAACGCCCAGGGTGATTTTTAGCCAAGAACGGGGTCAACAATAAAGTTTTATTTGTCAAAAACTAACGCGTTTAATTTATTTAAATAGTGTGTTTGTTACGGTAGTTCTCTTTTTGGAGTGTGTGGTGGCCCTGAAAAGGGTCGTTTTGTTTGTGTTTTTACGTAAAAACTCATTGGAACTTAACGACGTAAGATGAACCACGCAGCATGTTGGCGCACACGTTTTGCTTTCTCTTCATTCACGATGAATTCAATATTACAATAATCCATACCTTGATGAGTGGTTTGAAGCACTTAGCTTTGGTTTCAAAACGTAGCACTTCGCTGACTGTGAATCCATAACGGAAGAGCATCGCCAGGCGATGGACGCGGGGCTTTTTGGCAACGACCGCAAACGTATCCGTGTC